TTCAAGGACATTTGCGATGAATCAATCTCCGGCACCAATTTTATAGTTACAAAATGCAATGATTTTTTTCAAAATTGGTCTCTCGGGAAAGTAGCTAATTTTTGCATAATGGGATAGCCCCTCTATTGACCAACCATGGAAAGAAGTTACTTGAAAAACGAGCAAATTCCAGCGACTTGCAATAGCAATTATGTCAATCAACAGTTCACTTCATGACATTCTTTTGTAATCCCTCCTAGAGACAAGATTAGCTTCCATTACAGAGCTAGTAGAGTAGTACCTTACATGTTTTACTGACACCATGTCTTGTAGTTAATAATAGCTCACAGCTTTGTTTTGATTTAAGGAGTTTCTGACCGCAATGAAGATAAAATGCCAATTTGTTGACACTTTATATAACACAGCCATTGCAAACCAGAAAACACACAACATTGGACAGCCAGAGAACATTTAGAGATTAAATTTAAATTAAATTTATAAAGGCATTGGTTTCCTTGGTAACTAAATCACCGTATTTAGTCATTTTACTAAGTGATAGTGACGTAACAATTTGTTAGAAAAAGTTATCATTCAATTTTAGTGAGTTTTCATAGAGATATTATTCCATTATTTTCAAAAGAAATTTCTTTTTTCCATAATACACAAATGATCAGTAGATGAACAACTTAATTATTGCTCTCACTCCCACAAATTATTTATCGCTCTGAACAAACAAGCAGTACAGCAGGTTGGCCCACAATGACGACCTGAATAATTATAAATGTCTTCTAGGTTAATTCCTCACCAGTCTCAAAAGGTATACATGTACATGTATATTATCTCTCTATTTCAAAATGGGCGGCTATAACAAGTTGGTAATTGGATAAGTAAAATAATTTAGAATTAGCAACACAGCTAAAATATTTTTATCCTGAGTGAAAGCTCAGATCCTTGGACAACACAACATAATCTTGTTTAATGGCACACTTGAAAAATTAAAAACTTATTTGATAAAAATTTAATACGCCGATATATATATAAATTTCCACTGGCCAAAACATTCTAACTATTCACATAAGAAGCGGATTGTTGAATAGTCTTGATATTACGGTCAAGTAATCAAAGCAAGTCGACCATATCATGTACATATGTAGTGATCCCTTGAGAAACCTCATTTGAAGTCAATTGAGAGCCAGCCACTTGAACTGCCCTGGGTTTAATTACAAACATGGTGGAAATCTGTGAAAGCAGTAAATATGTCTATTAAAACTAGGACATGTAAAAACTCATAGCCTGGCCATATGTTTTGTGTTTTTAATCATGGTAATTAGATGAGGTAGGAAAAGGTAAAACATGGTTGAACAGAAGGTTTGTTGAAAGTTCAAAACTGATATCGGTGTTAGTTCCCATACAATTTGCATTCACATCTAGGAAGCAAGTGACTGACAGTCAACAAAGGTAATTGACTGTTTTCTTGTACCGCATACCAGTATACTGTACACCGCTTCATTTTAACAAGAAACAAATTGAAAATTATAAAATTTTTCAGCAGTTCAAATTGCACACGATGCCATAAAATCCTGAAAATTTCTATCAGAAATTAAGCGGTTTACAGTACATTGTCCATTAGAAACTTCGATAGTTTGGTGCAAATTGTCTTTTTCCTTCACTTAGTTTTGAGTTAGATTATTTTTAACACTATGAAGTTGCTGAAAATTTATTGCTTTTCTCTGTTACGTAGTACAAGATTTTCTTTTTTTTTTTCAGTGATTTTTTTTGCAGCTTCTGTGACAACTAGAGACATAAATTCTGAAGTTTAATCCTCAGTGTACAGAAGAAGATCATGTCAATCACATTCTGTTCTATAATCCAACTGTGAAACAAATAAAAGTACACATACATTTTAACCAATACATAAATCTGGGGGTTACGATGTACGCCACAATCACAAAAGTCAAACTGACCTTTGTAACTTCTTAAAATTGATAATTTGTTACATTCTTGTACATTCATGACTGCAACGAAGTTTCATGTAATATTTAGATGCAGACATTACACCTACTATCTTCCCCCCTGCAGGCATAGTGTCATTATTGCGTGTCAGACGAACACAGAACATTGGGGGGATACCTTTAGAATACCAAGTACATGCAGATGAGCTCATATGTTGCTGTATTACACGATATAAAGTGAAAGCTAGCAATCGAGTTTCTGAATATATTCTCTTCTGTGAAATGAACACACAGAAAATGCACAAATGATGTACATGTATGTGTAGGAGTGTACTATTACTGCAAAATACTTTATTTTAGCTTGAATTAATTAAAAGACTTTTGGGAGGTTTTGTATGGAATTTATTTTTACTGATTTTTGATGAGCTGATGTATATTCACTGAATTTTATTTTCACTGAATCAACCCCCCCCCCCCCCCGCCATTAATATTTCACCAGTTTCTTTTTGTGTGGATTTTTATCACTTGCTTCACAAAAAAGAACAGTTTTTGATGAAAAATTGTTGACGTAAACTGTTCAGACAACAGCAATAAGTAAAA